GTGACTGCACAGCACCAGGCAGAGGTCCCTGCCACCTTCCAGCCCCTCTCGTGCTCTTTAACACCTGTAATCCCTCCTGGCCCCAGGGAATTTCAGCGTTCTGTAACAAGGAATGTCCGCGGTTCTGGAGAACTTGTGAGGCCCCAGTGCTGGGGGGTTCTGTCACTGCCCTCAATCCCCTGCAGTGAGGAGAACTCACCCTTGTTGTGTCCCATGGGGTCTCCTCTGTGATCCCACTGCTCTCCTCAAGTTTTTTTGCCAAAAACATCTTAACGAGCATCTTAAAAGTGCCGAGGGGTCCCGCACTCCCTTCGCCCGTGGCTGTATTGACCCCTGAAGCCGGGTGGGGATAACCCCACGTCCTCCTCCCTGCACAGCAAAGTTGTTCCCAGGGATCGATTTGCTGCACTCCCAGCACTGCAGGCCTGTGTCAGCAGGACAGGGGAGGTGATTTGGGTGCCCTTCCTCGGGGAGGGAGAGGAGCCACGGGGAGCTGAAGTTTTCCGCAGCGCTGACCCCATGCTGAGGTACCCAGGGCGCAGTGCCCGGCAGGGACAGGGACACCGGGACAGCTCATCCCACTGCCACTGCTGCTGGGAACGTGGGGGCTGAGCGAGGTGGGGAGGGGGCAAGGCAGGGCTGGAAGGTGGAAAGAGGCGCTGGCAGTGCCTGGGGGCCAGACCCTGCCTGTGTAAGGAATTGGGATGCACCGGCGCTTGGAGCCTGGAGTGAAGGGCAGCAGGGAGAGGCAGGGTGGGGGCAGCTCTCAGAGCTTCCCTCGTGTCTCCAGGGTGGCTGAGCTGATGGATGTGCCCATTAATGTGCCCCAGTTGTGTCGTGCTGCTCCGGAGCATCCCCACGGTGTTGCTGGAGCAGAACAATCAGTGTCCATCACCCAGAGCGTGCCCTGGGCTCTGCTGGAGCCTGCTGAGCCTTACCTGCCACGAGCTGCCATCAATGCCAGCTCTCTGACAAGCACAGTGGACAGGCTGACAGGCCACAGGTCCTGGAAGCCCCACAGAGGGTGTGGAGCACCCCTGGAATCTCCCTGTGGGAAGGCTGGGGCAGCACTGGCCACTCTCCCACCCTGGGGCCACCTCCCGGGGACAGAGCTGTGGACACACAGGGTGCCCTGGGCTCCCTCAGCACCCAAAACACCCCAGCAGGACCAAGCTCCACTCTGGAGCTGGCTCATCCCCCCAGGCAGAGCAGGTGAGGGGCCTGTCCCGCCCCTCCGGGCTGCGGAACAAAAGCATCGAGGGCAAAGTCGGTGTTTTGTTGTTCTTTTGTTTGTTTGACTGTACAAAGAGCAATAAAAACATCCCACGCTCGGCAGAGTGCTCGGCCAGAGAAGGCCGGGGAAGGCGCCCGAGGCAGAGCAGCCCCTCCCGAGTGAACAGATCTGTATTTGTCAGCTCTGCTGGCCACAGCCACGTACAGACAGATGCATTGGCAAGTTGCAATCCAAGGATAGTGCACGAGAAGAAATGAAAGGCAGATGCAAGACTGGTCGTGTGCGGCACTCGGAGGCCTCTGTGCCCCCGAGGTGCTGGCTCAGCCCCCCGGAGCCGGGGACAGCCCGGCTCTGGCGGAAAGCGGCGCGGGAGCCCTGCGGCACCGCTGGCACTGTGCGGGGTGGGGACAGCCCGGCCCTCCCGGGGCAGCGGCGCCCGGGGAGGGAGGCAGGCGTGGGACACGGCACATTCCTGCTGCGGATGGGAGGGGAGCAGCGTGGAGCCCAGCGGGGTCGAGTGCGATGGGCGGGGCACGCGGGGCCGGGGTGGGAAGCGATGGGGCAGAGCGGGGAGGGCACAGCTGTCCCGCCATCCCTGGGGCCTGATGGCACTGCCAGGGTGGCACCTACACAGGGACGTGGCAAAGGTGTCCCTTCTCCCCTGGCAGTGCTGCTCGTGGGTGACAGGACCTCCATCACCTGTCCCTGGGCAGTGTCCCCTGTGGCTCCGGGCACTGTCCCCCTCCTGGCAGCCACGGGAGGAGAAAAGCTCAGGCCTGGTGCCATAGGGGACACTGTCCTGGGGCATTCCCTGCCTGAAGGCCCGGTGCTGCAGCCAGCAGAGCTCACCTGCCCGGTGAGGCAGGTGGCACAGGGGGCTGGGCAGGCTGGCAGTGCATTGCCATGGCAGTTACAGTGTGCAGTGCTCTGCAGGGAGGCTGCAGGAGGCCGTCTCAGCAGCGCAGAGCTGCTCCAGGGTGACAGAGCTGTCCTAACTCTGGGCCTGCTGTTGTGCCCAGTCCTTCCCAGCAAGTGCCCAAAAGCTCCTCTCCCTTTCAGCAGCTCCTTGTCCCGAGCAGCCTCACCCCAGCACTCCCCACCACCCCAGTTTGACATCAGCAGGACATTTTCCACTACAACCACCCTTCCCAAGAAGGAAACGAGCACAAAAAGGTCAGCCCAGCACCTTGGGCTGAGATGCTCAGACCCCAAACCAGCCCGAGAGGCAGAAGGGTCCATCCCTCACACACCAAGGACTGTTCATGGTTCCAAAACACTGCAAAGCTCCAAGACACTGGATGGGCTCATGGCCTTGACTCCTGAGCAGCCCGGGACAGTCCCTGAGGAGCACGAGCTGGCAAAGAGGAGACTGGCAGCTCTCAGGATCCCTCGGGATGGGAACACCAGTGCCAGTGGCCCAGGCACAGCAGGAGCACCTGGGGATGAGTCCTGACCCAAGGGCAGACTGCTGGCCCCTGCTCACATTTTCTACTGGGACACAGAGCAGACAATGGGGCAGGGGGCTGCCCAGACCCCTCTGTCCCTCCTGGCACCCCCTGCTCCAGTCCCTCCATGAGTAGGGGCTGCACAGGGCCCCCCTCACCCACCCCAGCCTGTCCCCAGCACCTCCTCACAACGCTGGCACTCAGAGCAGGGGACAGGTCCCAGCTCAGCCTCAGGGGCTTCAGCCCCCCTCCCCAGCCCTGCCCAGCGGGCTGCACAGGGCCCCCCTCACCCACCCCAGCCTGTCCCCAGCACCTCCTCACAACGCTGGCACTCAGAGCAGGGGACAGGTCCCAGCTCAGCCTCCCCAGCCCTGCCCAGCACAGCCAGGCTCCAGGGACCTTCTCTCTGCGCCCTGCTCCAGGCTGGGTTGGGTGTTTGCATGGAAGGAAGGATGCTCTGGGGAGACAGAAATCCTTGCTCTGGGAAGCACATCAAGAGGGTGACACTGTACAGGGGACAGGAGGGAGGGGCGGGCAGGGGGCCTTTACTTGGTGCCCTCGTCCGGGTTGCCTTCACCATCTGTCTTCCCCTCCTCCTCTGTCTTCTGGTCGTCCGTGTTGAGCCTCTGCTGCTTTTTCCGGCGCACGCATTTCACCACCATCAGCACCAGGATCACCACGGCCAGGAAGCCGCCCACGGAGGCGCCCACGATCACGGCCACCGTCGAGTCGTGCTTCGGGGGCTCTGGGGACACAGGGCACAGGCTCAGGGCACGCTGTGGCCGTGGGGACTGGCGGGGCTCTGCGAGCAAACCCTGCCCCCGCAGGTGCCCCCAGCACTGACCTTTGGTGAGCACCTTCAGGCTGATCTTGCCGTGGCCCCGGTGCCGGTCCGGGGGGTTCAGCACGTAGCAGTTGTAGGTGCCCTCGTCCTCCAGCTGCACGTTTTTGAGGGTGAAGGACACGTCGTACTTGGCAGGGTTGCCGGTGAACTCCACGCGGTTCCCGAAGCGGTCCAGCTGCTTGTTCATGATCTTGGTGCGGAACTGCAGGAACTGGGCAGCCGTGGGGACAGCAGGTGAGGCAGCGTGTGGCACCCCACGGGCTCGTTTCCCAGCCAGGCACCCCCTCCCTGCACGTGCTGCCCTGTAAGAAGCCCCGAGCAACGCCCTTCGAGCTGGTGCCAGGACCCCAGCAGATCCCCAGCCAGACTCACCAGCTCCTCCGAGCAGTTACTGCACTCCTGGTACGTCCAGTTGAGGGAAAACTGCTTGTTCTCCACCTTGTAGCAGGAGTTGAAGGTGCAGGAGAGCTTCACAGAGGAGCCATTCATGGCATTGATGATGGCAGGGGCCATGACCTCCATGCCCAGTCTCGGGGGTGCTGCCGAATGCAGATGGATTTGGGGGTGTCACAGGCAGCCACCCTGGCAGCTGAGCCCATGTCCCCGTGCTGCCCTGCCTGCACAGAGCTCTCCCTGGGGCCTGGCATTGCCTTCCAGGCACACCCACACACTCTGCATGCAGCCAGGACCGGAATTTCCCTGCCCAGCAGAACAAGGGCAGCAGCCCTGGCACTGTCCCTGGGCTGGGTGGGCAGAGCATCATCCCTGCTGTGCCAGGGCTGATGTCCCTGCTGTGCCAGGGCTGATGTCCCTGCTGTGCCACCCCGGTGCCGCCTGCAGGCCAGCCCTGCTCCTGGCTGTCCCCGAGGCTGTGCCGCTGCGGGATCGATGGCGCTGTGCGAGGCTGCAGCATCAGCACGCGGGGCCGGCGCCACAGCCGCACGCAAATTACGGCTGAGCTCATCACACTGCATTCCCGGCAGGACACAGGAGGGCCGGCATCTGCCACAGGCTCTGGGGAATGCAGATCCCTGCCAGCAAGGATTCTCCAGCTGGGAATGACCAGAGAGATCCAGGTCTCTGCTGGGGGACAAGGCCAGTCCCTGATCCCTGGGCTTGCTGAGAAAGAGGGGCAGGTCCTGGTGCAGCTGGCAGGGCAGGACTCACCTGGGGAGGGCAGGGATGGGAGTCTGTGCCCTGCTCACTCCTCCATCCTTCCCTGCAGCTCCCCTCAGCAGCACCCAAACCCAGCTCCTCACTGGTCCCCAGGCTGGGCAGGGGGAACAGGCTGCTGTGCAGCCACGCTGGCTGCAAACACCAGGCCCTGAGGGGCACAGGGACACGGGGACAGCTGGGAGGGACCAGAGTGTCCTGGGGGGACTGTGACACCCTCCAGGGCAGGCACAGGGACACTGCCACCAGGTGCTTTATTGATCACCTCACCTCTCCCCTCGGGCTGCTGCTCTTTGCTCTCAAACCTTCTTGCCGAGGCCAAGCTGGGCTCATGTCAGGGCTGCTCCGCTGCGCTCCGCCTGCAAGCAGGGCAGGAAAGGGGCCAGGCTCTGCAGCCAGGGACAGGAGCCTCGCCCGAGCTGCAGGCACAGCTCTGCCGAGCAGCTCCCACTGCCAGGTGGGACCCAGCAGCACCCTGAGGCTCCTGGGGGCACAGCAGTATGGCCAAACCCTGGGATGGCTCCTGGCTGTGCTGGCAGCCATGGGGACACCCCACATCCAGCCCCAGAGCAGGGAGGGCTCCCACGGGGCTCAGGGATACAGGGATGGGCACAGCTGGTGCATGGGGATGGGTCACAGCACCGCAGGCAGGAAGAAGTGTCCCAAGGCAGTGTCACAGCCTTGCTGCCCCGTGGCAGCCACCACCTTTGATGCCTCCAAGAAAACCTCTCAGGGATGGGAGAGAAGAGCCAGGAGCTGGCCTGTCCCAACAAGAGTGGTTGGAGGGCATCCCTGCATGGAATCATTGTCTGAGTGGCCCTGCCACGGGGCCCTGTGTGCCTGCAGGTGGGTGACCTGGCCTTATCCTGTGTCCTCAGGGCTCTACAGACGGATGAGGTGCTACCAGCAGCAAACCTGTCACCACCCCAAGCAGGGACACCACGGCCTGGCAGGACCTAGGGGCACCCAAGTGGGTCCAAACTTTGCCACTGGCTGGGCACTCAACCCTGGGGGACAACAGAGGTGGGGGAAGGAACCCCCAGAACCCCAGGGACCATCCAGGCTGTGTCCCCCCAGCGCTCTGTCAAGCTGCACCCAGGCTCGGGGGACAACCACAGCAGCCCTGACCGGGTTTTGTACCCTCCTTTCCCAGGCTCTCTCCTCGGGGATAAGCAGCCCGGCAGGAGGGACAGTGCTTCAGAGGAGCAATGGTTCGGCTGTCGGAGCTGCTGACAGCGCACTGCTGCTGCTGCTGCTGCAGGGCATGCACGGAGCATGGCCCCAGCACGGCCACTGGCCCGGGGACAGCCACAGCCACAGTACCCCTGAAGCACCCAAAGGACAGCCACAGGGTAGCAGAGCCACTGCCAGCACCCAAAGGACGGCCACAGGGCAGCGCAGCCACCTGGCAACTGTGACAAGGCAGCAGAGCCCACCTAGCAGCACCCAAGGGACAGCCACAAAGCAGCGCAGCCCCCAAGGGACAGGCACAGGGCAGCACAGCCCCTGGCGGTCCCCAAAGGACAGCAGGCACAGGTCAGCACAGCACCCAAAGGACAGGCACGGGGCAGCACAGCCCACCTGGCAGCCCCAACAAGGCAGCCCTGTCCCCCCTGGCAGCACAGCCCTGTCCCCACGCAGCCCGCTGCCCTGCCCGGCCTGCCAAGGGCTCTGTGCTCGGCATGCAGCGCGTTTTTAGGAGGAGATGCAGCAGAGCCCCCACCCCGCCCGAAAGCAGGTCACCCTGGCTGCCGGCTCTCGGCAGGGCCAGACCACCATCCCCACCCCTGCGGCACGGTGCCACCAGGCTGGCACACGGCAGGGCTCCTGGCCGGGACACGGCTGAATCCCCAGCTGGGCACATGCAAGGGGGGCTCAAGCCGACACTTACCCAGCGAGAGCAGCAAGGTGAGGCCAGTAAGGAGCAAGGTGGGCTGCGGGAGCCAGCCTTCCGGGCTCATTTTGACGGACTTTTGTGTGTGGCGAGGACGTGGTGTTGGTGTGGATTGTGGAGGTGGTGGAGGTGCTTTTTCGAGCCCTGCCCGGGTTATTTGCAGGTGACATAGAACATTAGAGCCGCTCGCTCCCCACAGCCCAATATGGCTGGAGCGGCGCTGAGGGGAAAAAAGCAGTAAATCCTGTGGTTGGTGGATTGCAGCCGCCGGAGTGGGAGGGCGGAAAAATTTTCCCCTGAACTGCAGGCGACGGCTCCTGGCACTGCCAGCTCCGTGCCCTGTGGACACGGTGGGTTCTGAACTCCTGGCACTGCCAGCTCCGTGCCCTGTGGACACGGTGGGTTCTGAACTCCTGGCACTGCCAGCTCCGTGCCCTGTGGCACACGGTGGGTTCTGAGCTCCTGGCACTGCCAGCTCCGTGCCCGGTGGCACACGGTGGGTTCTGAGCTCCTGACACTGCCAGCTCCGTGCCCTGTGGCACACGGTGGGTTCTGAGCTCCTGGCACTGCCAGCTCCGTGCCCGGTGGCACACGGTGGGTTCTGAGCTCCTGACACTGCCAGCTCCGTGCCCTGTGGCACACGGTGGGTTCTGAGCTCCTGGCACTGCCAGCTCCTGGCACTGCCAGCTCCGGGACACCTCCATTGCTTCCCAGAGCTGCCGGTGGGTTCTGAGCTCCTGGCACTGCCAGCTCCGTGCCCTGTGGCACATGGTGGGTTCTGAGCTCCTGGCACTGCCAGCTCCGTGCCCTGTGGCATACGGTGGGTTCTGAGCTCCTGGCACTGCCAGCTCCGTGCCCTGTGGCATACGGTGGGTTCTGAGCCCCGGGGACAGCTCCTGGCACTGCCAGCTCCCGGACACCTCCATCGCTTCCCAGGGCTGCCAGACTGCTGCAGGCTCCCTGCCCTTCTCCAGCAGCCTCTTGTCCCGGGATTTCAGCTCTCCTCTCCCAGCGAAGACAAGGAGTGACCTCCTGGAGCCCACAGGGACAGTGACAGCGCTGCTCGGGCCCCGGGACACGGTGTGGTGGCATTTGCGGGGACAGATCCCTGGGCACAGGGGCGAGCATGCCCCAGAGCCCGGGCAGAGCTCTGTGCAGCCCGGGGAGGCAGGAGGGATGCAGAGGGGAGCTTTGCAGATAGGAGAGGGATGCAGAGGGGAGCGAGGCAGAGGGAGAGATGCAGAGGGGGAGCGATGCAGAGGGAGCAATGCAGAGGGAGCGATGCAGAGGGGAGCGATGCAGAGGGGAGCCTTGCAGAGGGGCTCTGCTGCCTGACCACAGCCAGGAGGGGAAGCAGGACAGCCGGGAGAGGAGGCACGGCAGCTCTGCTCAGCAAACAGCCCTTTTCCACCCGTCCTGAGCAGGAAAAGCCCCCTCTGTTTGCTGCCAGGGCTGCCACGACCCTCCAAAGTCCCCGTGCGACCCCCGGCCCCCACCCAGCCCCGGGGCTGCCTCATCCTAATCTGGGTCCGCGCGAAAAGAGAGCCGGGTGTCAACGAGAACCAAGGAGCGCAGCGCGGCGCTGCAGTGAGGCGGCGTGAGGCGGAGGGTCCCGCTGCCTCCGCACCTGCAGCTGTCAAACATCTATAGATAGCGCCCGGCTCCCGGGACAGATAGCGCCCGGCTCCCGGGACAGAGCGGGAGCAGCGCCAGCGCTGCCTCGGGTCCCCTGAGGGGCGGCTGCGCTGCCCCGGGGCCGCGTGAGGGGCGGCTGCGCTCCCCCGACCAGCACTGCCTTTATTGCCCCGTGAGGGGCGGCTGTGCTCCCCCGGCCGGCGCTGCCCGGGGCCCGTGAGGGGCGGCTGTGCTCTCCCGACCAGCGCTGGGGGTCCCGTGAGGGGCGGCTGTGCTCCCCCGGCCGGCGCTGCCCGGGGCCCGTGAGGGGCGGCTGTGCTCCCCCGGCCTGCACTGCCCAAGGCTCTCTGAGGGGCGGCTGTGCTCTCCCGGCCAGTGCTGCCCGTCACCGGCTGCTCGCCCATGGACAGGGGACACATGTGGAGACCCCACTGCCCTGGGCTCTGTGCTGCTCCCCTCAGCCCCCATCCTGCTGCCTCTATTGCCCCGTTTGGCTTTGCTGCCGCCTGGGGCTGGCGGGCCCGTGAGGGGCGGCTGTGCTCCCCCGGGGTCCCGTGAGGGGCGGCTGTGCTCCCCCGGCCTGCACTGCCCGGGGCTCTGTGAGGAGCGGCTGTGCTCTCCCGGCCGGCGCTGCCCCGGGGCTCTGTGAGGGGAGGCTGTGCTCTCCCGGCCAGTGCTGCCCATCACCGGCTGCTCACCCATGGACAGGGGACACACGTGGAGACCCCACTGCCCTGGGCTCTGTGCTGCTCCCCTCAGCCCCCATCCTGCTGCCTCTATTGCCCCGTTTGGCTTTGCTGCCGCCTGGGGCTGGCGGGTGCCCCGTGCCAGGCTGCACTTGGGTTCAGGGGCTGCCAGGCCCCGGGCCAGGCGGATTTTGGCATGCTTGGACATCACATGGTCAGGCTGGAGGTAAAACGAAGACAGCATCAGGGAGGACTCCCTGAGTTTTATTATCTACAGAACAATACTCTCACGGCTCCTGCTGTGTCTCCCCCCTTGGGGATCCTCACCCTGGGCCAGGATCAGAGCTGGAGCATGAGCTGTGCCCACCCTCGAGTCCAGGGGGCAAGAGCTGGGGGCACAGGGGTCCCCTGGTCCCCTGCAGACAGCTGGGGTGGCCCAGCAGTGCCTTGGCATGGGGCACACAGTGACGTGTCACCAGTTCTCAGTCCTCACAGTGACAAAGATGTCCTGGGCACACCTGGAAAGGGGCTGCCATGCCACAGCACAGCTACTTCTGCCTCTCTGGGGGCTGGGGAAGTGCCTCCTCTGGCCTGCTGTGGGGCTCCTGGCTCTGTCCATGCCCCTGTGCCCCCTCTGCCATCCATTCTGACGGGATGGCCCTCTTGGCCAGCTCCACGTAGACGCCGTTGTCCCGGCAGTGAGATGGGTGCTGCAGGGAGCAAGGGACAAGGTGTGAGCCTCACCACGGGTGCCAGGCTGAGTTTGGAGGGGGCAGGGGGCACGGGATGGGACCTGGCACAGGGAGTGAGGCCCTGGCGAGGGGGGCAGTGGTGTGGGGATCCCACCACGCCTGCTGCAGCTCCTCACCATGGTTATGTACGTGTCCTCAGCTCTCCGCTTCTTCTTTGCTTCCTGCTCAGCCTTGGGCACCTCAGCACCAGGGATTGAGGAGTAAAGTGCTTCCTGCGAGGGGCAGACCAGGCTCTTTGGGACTGAGCAGCCCCCAAACACACCCGGGGGCTGCCTGAGCCCAGCCACAGGACAAGCTGCAGGAGCCACGGCTGGAGCTGGCCAGCAAACGGCCCCCGGTGCCGGGGCAGGGTGGGATCCCCTCCCCAGCCCACACCCCCAGCCCGGTGACCCCTCCACTCTCAGCTCTCACCTCAGCTTTGCCCTTGTTGCTGCTCCTCCCCATCCTCTCCAGGGCTGTGACGGTTGCGAACCTCGAGGGAAGGCAGCGGCAGTGTCACTGTCACCTCCGGCCAGAGCATCACCCGCTGCTCCTGTCCCTCCCTCCTTTTCCCGGGACACTGACATCCCTTAGCACACGCCCGGGCCGGGCTACCCGTGCTGCTGGCACAGCCCAGGAGGTTTGGGAGCCGAGGGGACACGGTGACACTAGATGGCAGCAGGAGGCTGGCACCCCCGACCTGGGCAGCACCAGGGCAAAGCCCGGCCAGGGAGGGAGGGCTGCAGGGAGCGGCTTCCTCCCCCCTCAACCCAGAGCAGCGTTTTTACCTCTTCCTCACGCACAGCCCGGCCAGGAACGCCACCACCACGGCCACGCAGCCACAGCCCACCACTGCCGGCCAGAACCCGGAGTCTCTCGGGGCCGCGACATCCTCGGCACCTGCGGGGGGACAGCGAGCGGGGGATGGCACCGCGGGGACCCGCAGAGCCGGGGCAGGCGGGCGGGGAGCGTGGCGCACCTCTGGGTGCCGCGGGGCTGACGAGCAGCACCGTGCGGCTCCTGAAGACGCTGCTGGTCTCCAGCAGCCGCAGCTCGCACTCGTAGGTGCCGCTGTCGTTGAGGCGCAGGTCCTGCAGCAGGATGGAGCCGTCCCAGCGGGACGTGTTCCCCCGCCACTGCACCCGCTGCTTGAAGCGGCCCGCGGGGACGCCGTGGTTGCTGTAGTAAAAAAACACCATCTCCTCCTGCCAGGGCAGGTACAGGATGGCAGGTTCGGGATGTCAGGTGCGGGATGGCAGGTACAGGATGGCAGGTTCGGGATGTCAGGTGCGGGATGGCAGGTGCCCGTCCCTCCTCAAGAGCTCTCAGTTCACACTTTCTCCCTGTGCACTCCCAGAGCCCTCCCAGGGAAAGCCCCAGGATGCAGCACGCAGAGCACAGCTCCCCCTCTGCTGTGAGAACTGCCCCCACACGGGCACCCTTCTTCCTCTTACGAAAACTTCCTCTCCTCATGGCCTGGTGACCACAATGGGCTTCCCCACAGCCTTCCCATGGCTGCTTCCCCTGCAGCCTGCCCACGGCTGCCTCACCCTCCCTCCCCTGCCACCAGCCCCATGTCCCCTCTCCTGCCAGTCCTGGCCTGACCCACCTGCGTGCCAGCTCCTGCCTTGTGCAGCCAGTCCACCTTGTGCAGGGTCCATCCCTTGCTGTCGGGGTCCAGGAAGAGGCACTGCAGCAGCACGGAGTCTCCAGCCCTAGCTCGGAGCTGGGGCTCCGTGAACACCGCAGCAGTGCCGCTGCACCGCCCTGCCGGGGACAGGGCCAGCAGGATGAGCCCAGGGAGGACGGCCAGCTGCAGCCTGCCTGTCCCCATCGCTCTCTGCTCTCCGGGGAAGCCTGGGGCTCACGGCCCTGAGCGGGGCAGAGGCCCAGCCCGTGCCTGACCCCTGCTCGTGGCGTGCCTGGGATGTGGGGCAGCACATCCTGCCGCCGCCACACCAAGGGCTGCTGCCTGTGATGCAGCCGAGGGGGAGCTGGGAAGCACAACCCCTGCCCTCTCCACGCCTCGGAGCCAAAGCCTGCAGCTCCTGCAGGGCTGTGCCTGTGACTCACAGGCTGGGAGAACCTGTGCTGCTCTCATCTGTACCAGGCCAGGGGCGATTCGAGCGCTTCACACGAATTTCAGTTCCTCCCTCACTGCCCATTTGGCTTCCTTCCCCTTTGCTCACAGGCTCCAGACCTGGGCTTGTGCTTGTCTGGCCATGTAACCACAGCTTTCTAGAGTAGCTGGACAGTGGGAAAAAAGCAAACCAGGGGAACATCAAAGAGCACAGAGCTGGCAACATTCACAAGGCAGCTGCGGCTGACTGGGCTGCAGACTGTGTGGCAAGAAGGGGATTAAAAGTCTTCTCTGTACCAAAAGGTTTTCTGAAATGACTGGGGCAGAAAACGTCACTGGAGCTCATCAGCCCCACCTGCCCCAGCCTGCAGTGGCCCTGAAGGGGGGCTGAGGCTCTGGTGCTGTTTGCTGAGAGCTGGCTGAGCTGATTCAGCTCCGGGGAGCTGCTCAGACAGGTAGGCTCGTCCTCGTGGCTGAGCCACTGCGCCCAGCCTGTCCACAGCCACCGAGGGCTGGGCCCTGGCCAAGCACCAAGTGTTTGTCTGAAACCCTGTAAATAATGAATGCAAAGTGCTGCAGCTTCCCAAACAAGTTCTGTTGGTCTTGACCAGCTGAGGAGCTGGAAATGACAAATATTTGCCAGCGGAGAAGGCCAAGGGAGCTGCCTGCCTCGAGCAGAGCCAAAATCAATACCTTGGGAACCTCTCCCTGTGTTTAGACTTGGTGAAGCAGTTCTGCTTCTTTCAAAGCCTTGGAGCCTCAGTCCAGGGATGGCAGTGCAGCTTGCAGCACACTCAGGGCCAGAGAGGGACTGGCACCCAGGACAGGAGCAGCTCCAGGGGTGCTCACCACAGGAGGAGAGACACTGATGGCTCTGAGAGCAAAGGCAGAGGGGAAAGCAAAGGGGAATAAAACTCAGAGCTTACCCAGCCATGTCAGCACCAGGGCCAGGCTCAGCAACACCTTCATCTCCCTCTGAAAAGAACAGCACAGGTGACACATGCTCCAGTGTCCCTGGGGCAGGACACCAAGGACTGGCAGCCAGCTCAAGGTCAGAGGAAGACTCTGGTGTGCAGCCTCCGAGGTTGGGAGGCTGGAATTCAGCACAGCACAGAGGGCAAGGACAGGGCTCTGGTTTGTGAGCCTGGAAAGGAAGAGTGAACATGGGGGAGAGGGCTCAGCCCCCTCATCTTTTCCTCTAAGTAAGTCACTATGCTTTCCAGTGTTTTAGGGGTCAAGCCTCTGACATCTGAGCTGAGATGTTCACAGGTGTTGACTCTGTTCCTCAGAGAAGCGGGGTCCTAAAACAAGACCCCCTACTCCAGATCTAATCCTTGCTCCTGGGTGCTGCAGGCCATGAGAGGCTCTGCTGGAGCAGAGCCACACCTGATCCCTGGGTTCAGCTCAACCTGCTCCACATCTCTCACGATAAAGCTGACATCTCCTCTCTGCACGTTGTGGATTTATCCTGCAGCCCGGGAAGGACTGGCTGGCACCACCAGGAGCGTGCCAGGCAGTGCCCCAAGGCAGGCAGGGCTCAGCACCCTGCTGCCCTGTCCCTGCTCCACCACTCCCAGCTGTGCCCTGCTGTTAAGGGTGAGTGCTTATGAGAGCAGCTCTCCTGCCCGAGAGCCTTCAATGAAGCTGCAATTGAGGCTGCATTACAGCAGGTCTTTTCCAATAGTGCAGAAATGAAATAATAGAAAGACAAGAGCTGAATCATCTCTGGCATTTTGGTGGCTTCTCTCGTTTTGCTCCACTGTGCAAGCGAGAGGCTCAGACAGGGATTCCAGACCCAGAATCAGCTGCTGGGGACCCTTGGATCAGTTCTAGGCTGAGAAAATCACTACAGATTTGTACCTTCATCACCCTGCCCTTTGCACAAGCAAAAAACCCTGAGAAGTGGCAGCAAACCTTCTGGAATTCTCTGGCATCTGCCTCTCCAAGCACAGGACCCCTCTGGGCTGGGTTTTTGCGTGCTTTGCTGTGCTCTGTGCAGCTCTGCCGTGACACACTTCACTGCACAGCCGACCTACAAACACAGCTCCTGCTCAGCCCCAGGGCCCTCAGCACAGCTCAGGGCAGCAGGCACAGCACCCTGCTTTCCCAGAGCCACTGCCAAAACCTGCAGAGCTGCACCTCCCAGGACCTGCAGCAGCCAAAACAGCAGCCAGCTCAACCCCAGTCCTGTCTGACTGCAGAGCTGAGATTTCTGCACCCAGAGCCTCCCAGAGCTCCTGGGGCTCTGGGCTGTATTTGCCACCAGGTCCTCGCTGGATTTATTGCCCTGGTTTTGAGGAGGATTTCTGGTCCTGGCTGGGAGCACATTTTTGCAGGGTCTCCCTCAGTGACACACAGCAGGGAGAGGGTGCTGGGAGGCACCAGCTGGAGCCAGCACCCACTCACCAGGCTGCTCTGTGCGTGCCAGTGCTGACACATCCAAATCACCTCTCCCAAACAGACTGGGGAAAGGGGCACAGCCACCACATGGCCTTCACATCCCCTGCTTTTGTACATGGCGCCCGAGTCACCAACATTTCTGCTCCCCTGATTCGCTTCTCAGGAAAAACAAATTTAAAAAACCATCCAGAAATAAATATTACAGCAAAAATCACTCACCTAGAGTGGCCTGGAAAAGTCAGCTCACCTTGCGTTCTTCAGCAGCTGATTCAGTGTCTGAATTGGGAACATCTGAAACAGTTGCTAAATCATCAGGAGGTTGCATATGCAAGGTCTTTCTTGGCAGGTTGGGTCTGATGGTCACTTTCACACGCAAGAGGAAGCAGAACAAAAAATTAGGATGTGCAACAGAGAGGGGAAACCAGCTGCAGACGCATCGGCCCGAGAGGGGTGATGGGGCAGCTCCAGGAGGCACCTGACAGGGAGAGCTGGGGCTCAGGCCCAGCTGAGGACTGGCCTGACCAGTCACAATGACCACTCCTGGACACAGAGGTTCCTGCACACACCCTGTGCTCCCTCCTGCGTTGTTTTAGGACCAGAGCTGCTGAGAGATCTGTCAGTCTGCACCCTGGATCCTGTCCCAGTGGGGCAGCAGCAGCAGCTCTGGGTGACGTGGCTGTGCCTTCCTCCTGGGGCTGCCAGGGCCCTCGACCTGCCTGGCACAGACAGCACGGGCAGCTGCCTCCTTCTGAAACACACACCACACTCTGATCTGCCTCTGCTGCAACCCCCCTGGCCGCTTTGAAAGCCCATCGTCACCTTTCCTCTTTCCTTGAAACACCAGAGCAGATCTGTGCTCCATGCCAGCATCCCATTTTTACCCATGCCAGTACCCCACTATTCCCCATTCCAGCATCCCCTCTCCCCACTCCAGTATCCCACTGCTCCCCATTCCAGCATCCCTCTCTCCATTCCAGTTTTCCCTCTCCCCATTCCAGCATCCCTCTCTCCATTCCAGTTTTCCCTCTCCCCATTCCAGCATCCCTCTCTCCATTCCAGTTTTCCCTCTCCCCATTCCAGTATCACTAGCTCCCATGGCACACTGCTGCAATAAAGCAGACAGGACTCAGTTTTTCATGCAGAAAAGCCCCTTCTTTACTCACATAACTCATTTTTCACAGACCCTGTGTTCAGTTCCAATTGGGTAGCAGATTCCTTGCTCATTCCTTGGTTGGTAAATGGCATTTTAACTTTCCATCAAATCTCTCTATTTTTGGATTGTTTGCATATTTCGTTCACTGATTCTCACAGGACAAATTTCTTGTTATTACAAGTGCAGCCTGTTTTCCTCTCTGGAACAGGTTGTTTGGTTAACTTATGAGAAACTTGGAGCTAGCTGCACTTAGGAGTGTCAGGCCAGCTGGCAATTTAGCCTGATTTTAGGTAATTTAGGCCTGATTTTCTAAGGCCTTTCTTTTATAATATCTCTACTTGCATGCATCACCACACCAAGAAATCTCTGTATGTGTGGCAGAGGAGAAGAAAGCCCAGCACCCCTCACAGCTCCAAGGTGGCAGCTCAGCTTTGCACCAGCAATATTTACCCAGGATCCACACACTCATGGCCAAGGAGGCAGAGCTGAAACACAGCATTTTTCAGCAAAAAAGAGCTTTTGGTGCCCCAGGGGAAGTCGTGAGTGCTGAGAGGGGAACAGCAAAGCCACTTCCCCCGGGCTGTTGATCCCCCAGCAGCCTTTCCCAGGAAAGCTGGGCTGACAGAGATGTTGTGTCACCAGGGAGCACAAACACTTGAAATATTGTTTTTTAGCAGACAGGGGAAAATGCATTTATCTGGAGGCACAGATCTACAGCTGACCTACTTCTCAGGGAGAGCTTCACCACACCTGAAAGCTGCAGAGATGCTCAAGGGGGGCCTGGTACTTCTCCTCTTTAGGGTTAAATCTGCTCCCTAAAAACCTTTAGGGGTTTTTTTTTATATAATTTTTCCACGTCCGCATGGGAGTTTTATGGGTTCAGCTGTATTTAGCCAAATAAACAGACCCAGAGCCCAGAATGGAATAATGCAATTTATTGGTAATTGCACAGCAAAATCAGCAGTAAACCTGGAGCACATCTGTAAAAGGAGAATGTTTGACTGATACAGAAAGAAAACAGCTTTTTAGGGATTGAGTGGGTGAATTCCACTGCTCTCTGCCATTCCTTGGTGGATAAGGCTGGTGAAAGAGGAAATGCCCTTCATCGAGGGGAAGTAACAGTGAACCATTTCCCTAAAGCAGGTCCTAGAAGAAGGGAGGAAGAAAACAACTACTGCAAAGAGAACATTCCTTTGGGCAGTGCTTGAGTCCGTGGCTGAGGTAGATGGGGTTGTGTGTCCCCAGAAACAGAGTCCCCATTTGCATTTCTGATTTCAAAAAAGAAAAATAAATTGTTTTCTGTGACTTGTGCTTCGCTTCTACAGGTAGAAGGAGCAGTACCCAGTGATGCAGCTGAATAAAAAAATACAAAAATACTTCAAAAGCAGTAGGTTCTCTTCACTCCAGCACAGAGGATGCCAGATATCACTTCATCAAACTGGTGTGAGTCAGCACGTTCCAAAAACCTGAGAATAAACCTTGGCAGTGCCCAGACAGCTGGAGCAGCCTTTACTTCAAAAAGTTGGATTTCCAGAGCTCGGGAAAAGAGAGATGTCACCAAAAAAACCCCAAAAACCAATGAACCAAAGCAACTTGCAGGAAAACCAAGGCACATTGGCACTGTAGGCCCTGAGGCTTCTCTGGGCCCCACAGATCCGAGGACAAGAGATTTTCTTTTCCCCAATAAATGAGAAAGATTCTTAGAAAATCGTTATTTTGTGTTTAAACAGAAGTGAATGATCCCATCAGCATTATTCCTCCAATCCACCAAGAGCAGAGCACGTCCTTCAGTCTGCACTGGTTAGCCAGCAGCCTCTGGGAGGGTCTGACCATGATTTTCAGTGCTGTAATTTTGGTCTTTTTCCACAGCTTCAGTCAGTAGGGATCTTCCTCATCTGTGTCCTAAATGGGGAACATGGAGAGAAACTGAGATTATGTGTGAAGAAATGAACCAAGCCATGAGCTCAGCCAAAGGCTGAGCCTGCCTGGGCTTCTGGCACGAGCCTAAATGCTTCCCAAAAATCCTGCTGTGCTTGAACAAGCCAGAGGACTTGCAAAACCACTGCTAGAAATAGAAATATAAATATACAGGAATATAGAAATATAGACATGGAGGAATATAGAAATACAGAAATACAGACATATAGATCTAGATATAAATATAATTATGAATATAGGTATAAATATAAACATAAATATAACTATAAATATGAATATGTAAATATATAAATACAAATCTATAAAAAATAAAAGTAAATCACTGAATCTGTTTGACTTCTCCCAGACATAACCACCATGCTATAACCCACAGGTGAAATGCATTTTAAGAGAAGCAGCAGCTAAAGATGAGCCAGGAAGTGCAGCACAGCCCTGAGCAGCCCCAATTTTTGGTTTTCAGCCACTTTTAGAAGCCCCTGGCTGCTGTGATCACAGCAGGCAGTTGATGGTGTCCCCACAATCTGAGATCTCACCCAAACACCTCAGCTCTGCAAGGCTGGCACTGACACCCAGATACTGCAGGCTAAAGAGATTTTCCATTGGCTTCACAATTTTAATTTTTTTGTCACATTTAAAGCACGAGAAAGCACAATAGAGAGACCTCAAAACTGCAGAATTGTTAAAGTGAGAGGGCAGCAATCTCAGAGACGTGGGCAGGTAAATATTTCAGTACCAGGCAGCACAGGATCACACCTGACAGCACTGCCATGGGAGCAGCAGGGTTTCATCATTCCGGTCTGACTCCTCCCGCGGGATGAGAGGACAGTTTTCAACTTTTAGATCTCCCATGTCCTGACCGCATTTCCTCACCGAGCTGGGGCTCCATCCTTCCCCATCTCTCCTCCCGGCGCCTCCCTGATTCCAGGACATCACCGGGAGCAGCCCTCCCACCTCCCGAGGCAGCTCTGGCATTTCCTGCTTCCCCCACCTCTCCAAAACCTCGTTCCCAGCTCTGTGCCTGCGGTGCCTCATGCAGAACTGTAAATATTTTATGTACAACTTACATAATTGCCTGGTTTTCACCCTGTATCTAATAGAAACCATCAGCACACGCCTGTCTGAAGGCTGGGGCATTTAGGACGTTTAAAATCACTGCCATTAGGAGAGCGAATCAAACAACACATATTTAAACCCTCCTTAACTCACGTCCTGAGCGTGTGCATGAGAGGCAAAGGTGCCCCAGAGGGAAATGCGCCCTGCAGGACACCGAAAGAATGAAAGCCCTCTCGAACTGGGCATTACTCTGGAATGTGGCTGCCCATTCCAGCAGGCAGGACTCACACAAAACAAGGGCAGCAGGTGGCAAAAGCACTCAGGGGCCGGAGCGCAGGCACTGATTAACAGGAGCTGCTGCCGGGCTGGGGAGGGAAGCAGCAGAATTACAAGGCAGCCGCCACTTCAGAGAGCGCGACAAACAAAAAAGCAGAAACAAACAAACAAACAAACCAACCGCGAGGGTTTCGCAATGCTCCGCTGGATGGAAAGGAAGGAAAAGGAGGGAAAAGGAGGAAGATCAGCTCTGCAAACACACAGAGGGCTGAGGGGCACTGCCAGCCCCGAGCTGCTCGTGCAGAGCTCCTAAAGGAACCCCAGAGCAGCTGGCACTTCAACCCCGATTTGTCACCTCAAAGTGACAGCTTTGACTCAATCAAGTCCAGAAAAATCAGTTTGATGGATGTCAGGACAGCCTCCCCAGCAGCTCTCGCTCCCTGCAGCTGGGAAGCTCCGAGGAACCTTTGGCACAGCCCTGGGCACCCAGGGGTGTTGGGACTCTCTACCTGCTGCCCTCAGCACCTCCTCTGAGCACCCAAGTTGGCAGAAGCGCTGTGAAAACACCAACTTTCACTTACCACGCAGTTCAGGCACCACTCCTTGAGTTTGCCCCCGCAGCCAGCTGTGTCTGAGGGCTCAGGCCTGCAGGGAAAGCAGAAATCAGGTTGGACTTTCGCCCAGACACTCCAGTGCCTCCTCTGGCCTGTGAATTCTGGTGGCACCACACGGAACTGAAGCTTTTCATGGTGAGGAAAAGCCTTTAAGTCAGCACAGCAAAGCCAAAAGGACTGAAAGCTGCCAGATGCCTCATTTTGAAGGTGGCACTTCAGTGCCACAAAGATCCAAACAAAAGTTGCTTTTAGGCTGGCAAATCTTACACCATCAATCAAATCATTAAAAGACTGCAGTAAAAAAAATCATTCTGCAAGGGGTTGAGCAGAAGGGAGTTCAGCACCTGGCATCCCTGCTCAGCCCACCACAGATAGCATTATTAGATTTATTTTGCTGTTGTGGAGACTTCACCCCAAAATGCAGCACACACATGCAAAACACCCTGCTGACTCAGGCTCAAATAAACCTCATTACAGAAGTGAAATATGTCTGACCCCAAACTGCCTCAGTTCCATGGCATTCCTCACACGAATGGCAGCAAGAAGGGGATGTGCAGCACTGGGTCTGTGCTCCAGCTCAGGGATTTCCCAAAGCTCTCTGCCTGCTGGGTGAGCAGCAGACACCAGTGACTGACTGCACTGGGCTTGTGCTGAAGGACAGTGGGGAAATCATCCCTCGTGCCTGAGCCAACACCCCGAAGTGGAAATACAGGCTCCAGCCAGGACTTACTCATCAGACACTTCGATGGAGGATTTCTTGTAGCCATATTTTCCTTTCTCCTTCAGCACCCGGAATTTCCTCCTCATCCTCAGCAGCAGCAGAATGACCACGAGGGCAGAAGGGAGGAACACCAGGATGGACAGCAGCTCAGCTGAGCTCAGCTGGAAGACCAGGCCTGAAACACAGCGAGGCACGGCTTGCCTGAGCCTCTGGGACAAAAACTGGGCCTGGTGGCCCTGCCATGAGAGACATGGGGCTGGCAGGCTGGAAACAGCCTGTCCCCACACCTGTGGTCCCCAAACTTGTGGGGCTCCTTCCACCAAACCCGTGGGGCTCCTGTCCCCAAGCCTGCAGTCCCCAAATCTGTGTGATGCCTGACCCCAAACCTGTGGGGCTCCTGACCCCAAACCTGAGGTCCCCAAATCTGTGGGGCTTCTGTCCCCAAACCTGCATGAGCCTCTGGGACAAAAACTGGGCCTGGTGGCCCTGCCATGAGAGACATGGGGCTGGCAGGCTGGAAACAGCCTGTCCCCACACCTGTGGTCCCCAAACTTGTGGGGCTCCTTCCACCAAACCCGTGGGGCTCCTGCCACCAAACCTGAGGTCCCCAAACCTGTGGGGCTCCTGACCCCAAACCTGAGGTCCCCAAATCTGTGGGGCTTCTGTCCCCAAACCTGCAGTCCCCAAACCTGCAGCCCCCAAACCTGCAGGGCTCCTGTCCCCAAAGCCAGCCCAGGCTCAGGTGCAGAGGGAGGGAGCTGCAGAGGGAGGCACGACACAGCCCCATCAGCACGGCTGAGCTGGGAATTTGGGGCAGGGCTGGCACGCAGGGCAGATGAGGAAATTGGTACTGACAATCAGTGCTGTGATGTGGAGATTATTTTTAGGCCAGCGTTTCCTCAATGTTTAACTTGTTCTGCTGCAATTTGCGGAGGCTGAAACCTTCAGAACAAAGGGCCACTTTTGATTTCTGCTGTCACCACAGCTCCCCCCGTCCCTTGCTGCCCCAAATCAATTCAGCAGTTCACAAAGCACTGGGCTCAGAGAGCGGGGCTGAGGCAACCCCTGCTGAAACTCCAGCGTGGAAGCCCAGGGAGCATTTCCCACGTGATGCTCAGAATCCCAAGATGCCACAAAGCAGCTCTTGTCACAGGGCGAGGCCAAAGCGAGGGCAGGGAGCCTTACCCCGCTCTGTAACCACCAGCACGGTCTGGGGAATGTTGTGATAAACATCTGGAGGGTTCTTCACGCTGCAGATGAACGTCCCGTTGTCACTGAGCTCTGGGTTTAGGATGGCGATGGAGGCGTCACCCTTAGCGACATTCCCGACCCAGGATATCCTGTCCTTGAACCTGCCCCCTGTCGTGGGGTGGGGGACGGACTGATAATGGAAAATCTGCGAGGAGGGAAAGGCAGGAATTGTGGCAGTAGAACACGCAGAGTGAACTGCTTTTGCATTGCAAAAGTAAAGGAATTTTGCATTGTAAAAAGAAAGGAATAATGTCACATTAAGAAGTCAGGAAGAATATTTCCTATATAAGAGAAATAAAGCAACAAAGTGAATCTTTTCAGCCATCCTGTGCAGTACTTGTGAAAATCCCCTAAATATATCTACTTTAGCGTTATTATGCCATTTTGTATTTACCTGGAACATTTTTTTCCCCCAAAATACACCAAAGAAATTTTACAGAGGAAAGAAGACAACAAGGAGCATCCCAAACCGCAAAGTGAGGCAGCAGCCCAGCAAAGCAAACAGAAAATTCCGATTTCCAGCATGCCAGAGGCCTGGCCCTGTTCCACCTACGGGCTCCATCTGGCCCCCAGCGAGGGGCCGGTAGGTCCAGTCCACCAGCAGGCTGTCCGTGATGGGCAAGCTGGACTTGAAGGAGCATTTCAGCAGCACTTGCTCTCCCACAAAAGCTCGGACTTTAGCACTGGCTTTAATTTCCAGGGAAAGAGCATTGCAGACACCTGATGGAACAGGCACAAAAGGCAGGGATTCATTTCTTGCTACCTGAGAGGTGCAAAAATTGTTCCAAAAACGTGCGGGTCAGGCAGAATTCGGGCACTAAAGCACAGCAGTGACTCCCTCCCCAGCACTGAACTTTGCAGGAACCACGGGGGATGTTGAGATGTGGAGACAAGGAGCTGAGAAATGGCACCAGCCGGGTCTCTGACGGGTTACCAAGGACCAGCTCTAGGCACTTAAAGCAATGCTGCTCTGCGGTTCTGCCCACAGCGCCTGAATTTCACACGCGCAGGGTCAAAGCTCTCCCCACAGCAGCGAATGCTCTCAGTTCTGGTTTCCAGGGTGCGCAGCCGCCTCTGCCCCGCTCAGCTCCGGCCGTTCCCGAGTCTCCCTCTGCCCCGGGACACCCGCCGCTCCGGGCAGCCCTTTGCCCGAGCCTCCCACGGCTCCGGGACGGCTCTTCCCGAGCCCCCCCAATCCCCCAGAGTACCGAAATCCCCTTTCCCGAGCCTCCCCGATCCCCCAGAGTACCGGGATGGCTCTTCCCCACCCTCCCCGATCCCCCAGAGTACCGGGATGGCTCTTCCCCACCCTCCCCAATCCCCCAGAGTACCGGGATGGCTCTTCCCGAGCCCCCCCAATCCCCCAGAGTACCGAAATCCCCTTTCCCGAGCCTCCCCGATCCCCCAGAGTACCGGGATGGCTCTTCCCCACCCTCCCCGATCCCCCAGAGTACCGGGATGGCTCTTCCCGAGCCCCCCCAATCCCCCAGCCAGAGTACCGGGACCCCCCTTCCCGAGCCTCCCCCTGCCCCGGGACCACCCCCGGCCCTGGAGCCGCTGCCGGCCCGGTTCCAGCGCGGGACCCCCGGGCGCCGCCGCCCCCGTCCCGTGCCGGCCCCGGAGCCCCCCGTTACCGAGCAGCAGCAGCAGAGCCCCCCGCGGCAGGACGAGGAGGGGGAGGCGGCCGCGGGCCCCCGCCGGCCCTGGGCGCCGCATCCCGGCCGGGCTCAGCCCCGGAACATGGCGCTCACCTGGCGCAGGTGAGGGCGGGGCAGCCCCGAAATGGCCGCGGCGCCTGGGAACGTCTGGTACAGCTGGGAGGGAACACCTGGGAGGGAACACCTGGGAGGGAACATCTGGGAACACCTGGAAACACCTGGGAGGGAACACCGGGGCACACCTGGGAGGGAACACCTGGGAACACCTGGGCACACCAGGGCAGGAACACCTGGCTGGAAACACCTGGGCACACCTGGGAGGGGACACCTGGGCATAGCTGGGTACACCTGGGAACATCTGAGGACACCTGGGCACACCTGGTACACCAGGGCAGGAACACCTGGCTGGAAACACCTGGGCACACCTGGGAAGATCTGGGTGGGCACACCTGGGTACACTTGGGAACACCTGGGCACACCTGGATAGGAACACCTGGGAGGGAATACCTGGGCACACCTGGGAGGGAACACCTGGGCACACCTGGATGGGAACACCTGGGAGGAAACTCCTGGAAACACCTGGGTGGGAACACCTGGGCACCCCTGGGAGGGAACACCTGGGCACACCTGGGAAGATCTGGGTGGGAAACCTGGGTACACTTGGGAACACCTGGGCACACCTGTGTGGGAACACCTGGGCACACCTGGGAAGATCCGGGTGGGCACACCTGGGCAGCCCTGCTGGGAAAGGCCAGCACGGCCACCGCCTTGTCCCCAAATCCCCAAGGCTCCTGTCACCGCCAGCCCGCTCGCTGAGCTTTGGGGTTTTTTTTGGGTGCCCACAAAACGAGGAATGTGTCAGGATTACATTATTAAGCTCCTTGCTGTGAGATCTGTGTAGATTTTCAAGCACAATCAGGAAATAAAAAAGACCTAATCAGGGGAACATCCTGCATGCCTTAGCCAAGGACACCTGGAACACACAAGTTTTAGGGATGCAATAAATCAAGATGTTGATGTGTGTCTGTGTGTACATTGCTAATTGTGCTAAACACCTGAGATTTATATATCCTAGAGCTGAACTATCTTGGTTATAATACCAAAAATCACACCTAGAGGTCAAAAAGACCCCGGCCAGGTGAAGAGCCTGCCCCTGAGCAGGCACAGAAGTTGCCTAGGGTGACACAACTTGTATGGGAATTAATAACCCATTGTAAGAGAGGGGCTGGACTTGGAGAGTTACTGACTCTGAATTCTGTGCACAAATAATGGTGGTAAAAGTCCAGTGGATGTGCTGGATTTGTGGGACACCACCAAGCACCCGGGCTTGGGCTCCTCTGCAGTCAGTATCAATGTCTCCCTGAAGTATTTTATTATTGGTTTGTTGCACATGGGGTAACAAATCTGATTTTGGGGACGAACAGTGCAAATCTGCTCATTTGAGGAGTCAGGGGTCCCCAGGGCACAGCCCACTCCACACCAGCACAGCTCGCAGCAAGGTGCCTTTATTTACAAGACAGGCGAGTGCAAATGAAAACAGCCAGGCAGGGAAGAGCCAGGGAACGCTGGCACTTCACGGGTTATAAAGCCATAAAGACACTCTACAAACAATCAGGCCAATGCTGTGATTTGGGGCTGGGTAAACACTGTAACAGGATCGGTTTGGGGCTGGTTAGACACCGTTAGAAATCCATGGGTTCCAGTTTTGGGGAACAGGGGGGAGCACTGGGATAGCAAGAGTGGGAATGGGAACGGGGAGAGATGCTGAACCCAGGCAGAAAACTCTCCTCAACCCCCAAATTCCCCCAAAGCTGCCAGAGAAGGATGTGCAAAGCACCCTGGCTGGTGAATGTCATCCCTGATGACAAACAGCAGACCTTGCTCAGCTCTAACTCTGTCCCTCTAACGTAGAAAAGGGATTCCAAGGAGGTTTCTTGTGCCAGCTGAGACCTCTCTGCTCAGTCTTCCTTCTCAGGATGCCAGGGAGGAGTCTCAGGGAGTAAAGCCAGGGCAGCACGAAGGCACCTTGTGGTTTCTAAGGTGCAGGAGTGCATCTGCTCCAACGCCTCCCAGCCCTCTGTTCAGTCAGCCTTGGCACTTTCATCTTCCAGAGGAGCCGAGCTCCCATCCCGCAGGTGAGAAGATGAAGGGAAGTTCTTTGTTCGTGGGGCAAGATCCTCCTGCTTTGCTTCACTGGAGGGAATTCACAGCTCATGTAAAGTCACCCTCTTTCCATGCAAGACTTTCAGGTTGAGCAGAGGTTCCGAACCGGCAGCGTGGGGCGTCTGTAATCCAGCTTTGTTCTAACACCCCAAATTACAAGCTTTCACCAGCTGCTTTGGAAGCACCTGAGAAGAAAGATTGTAAGAAAAACAAACACCCATTACTCAGGGTTATTGTCAAAAACCAAAATAATAGAGGCAACTGCTGACCTCAGAAAGTGTGGGTCAAATTTGTGCTGACACGTTTAAGCAAAGACAATGAATATGGACACAGTGCCAGACTTCCTGTTGCAATTGTAAAACAATAAGGGTTAAAGTAATCAAAAAGCAGATTCTAAACTGACAAAAGGGAAGTAATTCATTCCTCTTCACCTACAAAGCAGGAATGCCATGGAAAGCAGCAACAATGGCTTTCCTACAAACGCTCCTCAACGGCAGGGTGGAGGAATCTCTTGTACATTAAAAGGCTGTGATTGTTCAGCTGTCTCTGAAGGATCCTCACAGCAAAGTGTGACTGTGGCCTCAGTTCTGACTCTGAACAGCAGGGAAATACCCGAGGGGAGTCCACAGGAGCACTGAGACGTTAATCAGAGAAGGTTTGGATGGGTACCTGCATTGTGCACACCAGCAAAGACCTTTAATCTTCCAATGGAATGTGTTCCTTTTCTTCCCCCATCTTCAGGCTCTCCTTTTCTTTACTGTTATAACAAAAAAAAGAGAAAAGAAGCCCAAATCAGCGTCAGGCAGAGCAGCAGGATGTCCTGAGTCACACGCAGCACACCCGAGGTGAGATGGTGAGTGTGCCACACCAGGGGTGACCACAGCTCAGGGTGGTCATCTGCCCACCACCACCTCAGCAGCTGTGTCCTGAGAGAGGAGCCACTGAGAAGGACAAGAGCCAGCTGAGGACTCCAGAGCTTCTCCATCCTGGGGCTCTGTTCTGCCTGCACGCGGCCAATTAGCGCTAATTGGCTCGGCCGTTTTGCATCCGTGCAGGGTCCAAGCCCAGGATTCAGGAGGGCCGTGGAGATCAGTCCCACGGTGTCCCGGGAGCCTCCCCTGCGCGGCCTCACCGCTCGGCGTCTGCCGCCTCCTGCCTCCTGCCCCGCGCCTTCCTGCGGCGCTGCCGGCAGATGATCACGGCCGTCACCACGATGATCATCAGCGCCGAGGCAGAGCCGATGGCCACGGCCAGGAAATGGATTTCGGAGAAGCTCACTGTGGGGAGAGACACAGGAATGGAGCAGAGGGGCGCACAGGAGGAACGGGGCTGGGGTGCTGTATCTGTGAATGAAACCTGTCCTCGGGCTCCTCTTTTCCCCTCGTGCTTTCTGCTTGCCACCCCTCTTCTCCCATGATTTCCACATTGGAAATCCACGTGGGAAATCCCATGATTTTCCCAGGTGTGGAAGAATCACAGAATATTGAGGTTGGAAGAGACCTCTAAGATCCTCGAGTCCAACCTATGTCCCAACACCTCAACTCAGAATCCAGACCACAGCCCCAAGTGCCGTGTCCAGCCTTTTTTTTAAACACATCAGAGATGGTGATTCCACCACCTCTCTGGGAAGAGCATTCCAGTGCTTTATTACTCTTTCGGTGAAATTTTTTTTTCCTAAAAGAATGCCACTCTGCTCAAACCCACACGACCTCTGGGGGTTTCTTGGCCTCTCACCTTTCTGCACAACCCGGAGCCGCACCTCCCCGATGGTGCCGTAGACGTCTGGCCAGTTTGTCACCTGGCAGGTGAAGGTCCCGTTGTCACTGGGCTTCAGGTTCCAGACGATGATGGAAACATCGTGGCGCTCAATGTTCCCATCCCAGGTGACTCGGTCCTTGAACCTTCCCGAGGGGGGCTCGTAGGGCTCCTTCAGGTAATAAAACACCTGCAAAAGTCACGGGAACATCCAATGGCCTGGGCTGGAAGGGACCTGGGAGATTCCCGAAGTCTGTCAGGTGCAGGATGTCACCTAAGACAGGGCTCAGCCGTGGGGTCAGCTTTGTAAAGCCACAAATATTGTCACCTGACCATCCAAAACCAAACACGAGAGTGTTTTTTAGGCAGAGTCCATAAACAGGACTCGATTAATCACCGCAAGTGACGAAGGCCCGGGTGTACCTGTGGCTTTGGGTGTGCCTGTACCCACTCACTGCTCACCCAGCGCTGGCTTTTGGGGTGGGGGGAGCCCCTGGAAGGGAGCACGGGGATCTCACTCACCGGCTCGTGAGCGCTCAGGTCCTCGGGCTGGAAGTTCCAGCTGACGGAGAGCTGCTGGCTCACGGGGCTGCTGCTGGAGAAGGTGCATTTCAGCCGCTGGTTGGTGCCGTTCACGGCCACCACCTCCTTGGCAGTGTGAACTTCCACTGCTGCCGCCAGCCACACTGCAGGGCAAAAAATCAGTGAAAAAAAAAAAATCAGGGGGAAATCAGTGTCCGGAGTGAGCTCAGCCCTGCTCTTATCGGCTCTACCTCCCCGGGAGCCTTATCTGTGCTGGCAAGGGATCGCCCCTCAGGCATTCCAGGGGGGGTGGTCCTGCAGATTTATTCAGAAAAACCCTTTCAAACCGGACTGGACCCACCCAATAATTGCTATTTCCCATGCTGGAATTTCCCTTTCTACACTTTCTACTCAGCCTCGTGCACGCCTCGTGCTGGCACATCCAGAGCCAGTTTTAGAGGATTTACAGCCCAGCTGGGCAACTGCAGGTAAATTCAGTCGGGTCTAGAGGAAATCCTCAAGGTAAATGTGGGTTTGTTTTTCCAAGAAACATCCCCACAACCACCATGGCTGCTGCTTTAATAAGTGAGCATCGCTCACTCGATGCTGCCCTGGAAAAGGGACAAGCAGCAGGAAGGAGAGCAAGGAGAAGAGAGGAGGAAAA